ATTGAATAAGTAACTACTCTATCTGACCATACATTTAATTTTTGTGGTCTTTTAGTATGGTTTTCACGCATTCAGTGTGAATTTCACACGAGTTCAGCTTACGTAATTTGTTAATTACGTCAGCGTTACCAGTGTCTGTGACATCCCAGTAGAACGTGATGAGTACATTAGTGAGATGTTGGATAATCAGCAAATACACCAAGATCAGTTACCCAGGGACTGTAGCACTCCATTCGTACACACTGCAAATAGTACACCATTGACTAATGATTACAGCTTACAGAAATCGTTTGAGATATTCCAACCCGTAAATGTAGAAAATAGTGAGTACCCTAGTGAAATCTTGAGCAATCAGCAAACATACTAAGATCGGTTACCCAGTGACTGTAGCATCTCATTAGTAGGCACTGCTAGTAGTATACCATTAACTAACGAATATAGCTCACAGAAATCATTTGAGATATTGCAACTAGTAAATGTAGAACAGGGTGAGTACACTAGTGAAAGGTTAAATAACCAACAAATATGCCGGGATCAGGCACTAGAAGAAAATATTGTAGACTATGATATCGCAGAGCAATCAAATGAAGATCTGTTTTATACATTATCGGACAAAGACGAGACTTGAAAACCTAACGAAACACCACAAGCTACAAAAATGGGCACAAAGAAATCAGAAGAATTAGGTGACGAAAAACGAAAATGTAGAAAAAGATCAAGAAAATCGGAAACGGAAATATTAAAAATGGTAAAGTAAAACAAGGTCATTCCTATATTTCTACATCCAGAAAGCTAGTAGAAAAAAACATAGTAAAATTAGGTTGTAATGAGAAGTGTAGTTTTAAATGCCATTCAAATATTGACAATGCAAAGCTGCAGTTAATTTCCAGAAATATTGGGAGCTTAGTAATATAGATCGACAAAGACAATTTCTACTGAGACATATAAAATTAATTGAGCCCACATACAGATTGAACGAAATAAATTCGGAACATAGGAATATAATGTATTTCTGCTAAATTCTGCTATAGGTGGTTGGTCAACAAAAGATTGTCAAATAATTATATTGTAAAAAATCCCATACTTCATCGGGCTGCTGGATTCTGAACTCTGAACTCTGAAAAATTGAAAGCTACACATAAATCTACGATTTTATTATGCTGTCAAACCAGTTATAGTCCAGGAAATGTAGGATTTCACCTCGAAATTTTTTCGTGCGGCGTGGATTGACTTCAAATTTAACAGAAGGTAGGTAATAGCCTAAGAATCAAAATCTATATCGAACCAAAGTGCGCCAAAGCCTAGGGGGTGGTTGCCACCCCATCTCCAGGGGGTGAATTTTTTTTTACGTTTGAACTACAGGTTTCGATTAGAAAAGTGATTCTAAACAAAAAATGTGCTATACATTTTTTTTATAAAATGATATTTTTCAAGTTATTCGCGATTGAAAGTAACAACTTTTAGACGAAAAAATCCACGTTTTTAATCGATTTTTCGCGAATAACTCGAAAATGGTGCATTTTATCAAAAACATTGTAGAGAACAAATTTGTAGCTTTTAAAAAGACAAATACAATTACAAATACAATATCAATGTTCAGCGGTTATCTTCAAATGCCAAATTTGAAAGATTCAAAGTCAAATATCGGGAAATTGATGTATTTTTGGAAGAAAACTCACAAAACCTTTTTTAAAGAGCATAAATAGACCTATCATAAAAAAATTAGGTCAATACCTCATTTGTTACGAAAAAATCGAGGAAAACAACACCCTAACCACCCCCATAATTAAAATCGATCTTCACCCTTCTGCAATTCCCTTTGTAGATGTATTGTTAATACGTCCAAGAAGTTTGACCCATTTAAAATGCTTAGTTTTAGAAAAAGTACAGCTACAATTTCATATTTTTTACCATTCTTTTTTTAAATATGCCCGAAAATACTGAATATATGAAAAAAATAAAAATTACCAAATTGTAGCTTTTTTAATGACTAAAATTATTCTTTATTTAGATTTGTTGTACAATGAATATTTGGCGAGATATAGCCGTTTAAAGCATCGATTTACGATCAAGCACCATCTTTTTCGAGCCCTTTAAACTCACCCCATTTAAAAACCAAAGGTTCCAAAAAGATTTAATTCACAGATCCTTGTAGCTATTAAAAACCTCTACAAATCGTTTTTGAAGAAACAATCTATCGTTAAAAATTAAAGGAAATACGTTAAAAAATCAGTTAATTTTTTTCTGGAAAATTCCATTAGTATAGTACAGTACATTTCGGAGCATAATAATCTACAAAACCGGTATGTTAGCTAGTGGGACGTTATACATTCAAAATTTTAAGCGTTCTTATTTTGAAATCCCATACAACAGAATAAAACATCTGCTCATATGTCTATGGCTTGGCAATGAAAATATCAGAGCAACAGATTGGTATTCCAAAGATGGTTTGTTATTACCCGTACACATGAACAAACAACCTGCAAACGATAAATTTTTGAAAATTATTTGTTGCCAATGCAAAAAAGGATGCGGCGTTTCATATGGGTGCAGAAAAGTTGGTTTATACTGTAACTCTACTTGTTCTGGGTGCTCAGGTGAAGGGTGCAATAACAGTCCACCAATAATTGAAGAAGATAAGGATGACATATATTATCACGAAGAAGATGTAATTAATGACAAATAAAATTAATATTATAATTGTTTTACCTATAAATGTAAATATTTTCAACTATTTATGTAAATGTATAAGAATATATGGTGCCTTTTTATGTTGATAATTTTTTTTTTGTATTTAATTCTACTTTTTTCAATTTATATTTTATAAATTAGTTTATAAAAACTGCAATGTTGTAAAGGGTGATTTTCAACAGTTGAAAAGTTGCAAAATTTTGGCAAAAAATTGTTTTCACCTATAGCACTCATAACAATTGATTTTTAACGGTTAAAAATGTATGAATTTGTATTTTAAAGTATAAAAAACTCACTATTTAACTAATCCAAACCAAATTTCACTCATCTTAAGACTTGTAATATTATTTTACAATTTTTGAAAATTAGGGGTAGTTTTCACCCCTAAGAACAATCAGGGTTCATCGGCATGACATAAACTAAAAAGCAGAGGGTGAGTTGAGCTTAATTCCAAATTTTTATGCAAATCGTTCCAAGGTGAAATCATTTTCTTCGCATTACTAATTTTTTTATATTAATCTCTAATAAGGGTCGCTTTTTAAGGGTTGAAATATGATGGAACTTTATTCAAAAGCACCAAACTATCATTATTTAATTAATTCAAACCAAATTTTACCCATATTCAGGTTTAATATGTCATTTTATAATTTTTGACAATTAGGGGTAGTTTTCACCCCTAAGAACAATCAGGGTTCGTCGACATGACATAAACTATAAAGCAGCGGGTGAATTGAGCTTAAATTCAAATTTTTATCCAAATCGATCCAAGGCGAAATCATTTTTTTAGAATTAGTAATTTTTTACATTAATCTCTAACAAGGGTTGCTTTTTAAGGGTTGTAATATGATGGAACTCTAATCAAAAGTATAAAATAATCATTATGTAACTAATTCAAACCAAATCTTACCCATATTCACGTTTAATATGTTATTTTATAATTTTTGACAATTAGGGGTAGTTTTCACCCCTAAAACCCTTCAGCGCACTTCGGTTCGATATAGATTTTGATCCTTGGGCTATTACCTACCTTCTGCTAAAATTTCAACTGGATGCATGCAGGACGAAAAAATTGCGAGGTTTTAACTTTTTTCGAACTTCATTTCCTGAACTATTATCGCCTCCTTAGACAAACCCGTCTTACGCAAACAACTTTGTTGCGAGACAGATAGTTGAACGATATTTTATACAATGTCTATACCCAGGTATGGATTTATTTTTGTCCAAGTTTTTTATTGGTCCACTATTTCAAATGCAGTTCAAACAGACATGTATTAAATTGTATGTTCCGTTTTAATTTGGTTCAATCTGTAGATGTATATTAAGACAAGCCGAAGTAAAAACCAATATATTTTTAAAATGGAAAGTACAGTAATAAGAGTATGTAAAAATTTCTTCCACGATACTCTCGAGTCAGTCAAGAACTGCAAGAATTGCAGACACCCAGTTTAGTATACGAAGTCCAACAAAATTATATCTATGATATTAAAGCGTTAACAACTACAATAGGAAAACCATTTACAAACAATATTAATAATGAGAAGGTAATATGGAGTAATATTAAAGTGCTGCAGTGTAGAAAAAATTCTTCACAAACAAGCTTTGAATCGGACACATTTAAAGAAATCTTAATTAACCGATCCAACAGACAAATATCTGAATGCAGCATAGGCGATCTAGTTTTTGAAAATGCCTACAATGAAACTCTGAGTATAAGTTAAAAGAAAAAAGATGGGTTACTATCTCTATGTTACTAAAATTTAACAAAAAAAAGGATACCACGACTTTTACGAATCACTCACAGTTTCCGCTAGTACAAGGAATGACTCAGGTGTTGAATAACTCATGAAGCAAACTACACAGTACAATTTGTACTTGTATATTCATAATCTTATGTTATTGGTTTTATTTAATAAATTATGTTTGTTCTGAAAATAATGATTATAAGTTTTACTATCATTAAATTAGGATCATATATGCCAAAATACTTATTATTATTCCAATGCAAGACTGTCTTAGCTTGAAATATATTATTATCAATGTATTAAGTTATTAGTTTGAAATCATTAACTGAAACGAGTCAATATAAATGTGTTTTTTTAATTCACAATACCATTCTATCATGAATATGGTTAATGTAAAAAAAAAGATAAAAATTTAAGTCAAATATGGCTTGGTAATCAAAACCGCCGAAATCCTACCCTCATACAAATTAACAAATTGTTAAAATTTCTGTGTCTTTTGTAATTATTACCATTAAAAAAATGCAAAAATTAGCTTACACGATTAAACAATTTTTAAAATTGACTTACCTTGAAAATTTCCCTTTGTGATATTTAAACAAACCCATAACAAGCAGATCAAGAAATTCGCAGTCTTCATTATCACTAACGATCTTATTTGACCCAAGACAATCAACTTAATGTATGCTCCCGTTCGCCGACTTAATAATTTATTTAAATTATGTGTTCATGGAAAACCAGATGATCAGATGACTATAATATTTTAATCATTGGGAATTTTAAAATGTTGGGTATATCAATTCGGATTATAATATTATTCGAAGTAAATAATAAACAAAACAATTATTCCTTATTTTTAGAAGTTTTTTCATGACGAGTTGTAAACGGAAAAAATAGCAATGGTCACTAAAATAACAATCGATGACGTTGTTCAAGCACTTCAAAAAATAAAGTAAAGTAAAGTAGTTGATATTCCTGAGGACAGTGCATAAAGCTTTAGAAGAGGCAGGAGCAAGTTGGCTAACAGGTTTATTTGAAATTATGGAAGTAAGGCAAATTCCAGACGAATAGATAAGCATTATATCGTCGGCGATCTGACAATACCTGCTATATGCGAAAATTTTGTTTTTAAAGGAAGTAAAAAAACGTTGCCAATTTTAAAATCATTTTTACCTAACCTTATAATTATTACAGTTTAAGGATTTTATTATTATACGAGTATTCTACATATTTTTGGTTAAATTTTTTAAAAATGTTAAAAATAGTGTCAGATAGCAGGTTTTGTCACAGATTTTGTTAGAGTTAGCAGATACTGCATGATACTTATATTTTTTATTATTAGCTGTTAAATGGTGTTTACAAATGTTTATTGAATAATTTGTCAAACTTAACTATCTAGTTACAAAAGTAAAATTAAAATAGCGTTTAGGTACTATTTCTATGTTGAACTAGTTTTTTTTAGAAGTTCGATGTGGGGTTTGTATTTCTGCCTTTTGGCCTTTTGGAGAATTTTCCTTTGTATATGGAAGAAGATCGTAAAATATGTGACATTCTTTTAATATGACACTCTTCAAAACTTGTAAGTGACGCCATTTTTTTAAGTGATTGCCAAACGATTGTTGTATAGCTTTGGGTAATCTATATTGGTTTCAATGTTTTTGGGTCTAACGGGAAGATGCTTAAATTCTTTGTTAAAATTTAGTTTAAATTGAATTATTTTTTCGGGATTATACCATAAAGTTTTAATGTCTACAACAAAATTACTTCTAACAGGTTTGATTATGAAGTTCTGTAGCAGTTATAATCTGGCATAATCTTTAAAAAGTCGTGACTTATTTGAAAACCTTCAAATGAATAAGGTTTTATTCTAGCCTCTTTCGACGCTTTAACATAATCACTTAGTAACTTAATAACCCTATTTTTTAGTTTTCTTTCAATACAGCTATGAAACGAGTCACATTCCATTTGTGTGTGACCTTTGGTAAGATATTTTGCGTAACTGAGACTCTATCCTTAACGGCAAAATTAAGAAGTGCGTTTGCCATAACACTGTTTCGGTTTTGAAGTGTGCAACTGTCTGATTAAATTACGATAGGTAGGTTTTCTTTCAAGCAGTGCCTCTCTAAATAATCCATTAAACAAGAAACAAAAGTGGAAGCCTGCAAACTGCACTCTACTTCTGTAAACTAGTAACAAGTAGCTTGTTGAGTTGTAGTGTTATATATGCTAAAGTTGTGGCATTTTAACTATGTTTTGAAGTATATTTTAGTGGCAATTAGGAAAGGTGCTACTTTTACAGCCTTTCAAGTCTATACAGAGCATAATACATTCTTTCTTATGAACTTTAGCCTTATCTTCACGTTGTTCATTTCGAGCACTGTTTTTCTCTTCAATATGTTTATTCCATACCGCTTCATTGATATTTTTTTTTTCGTGTTCAATGTATAAATCGCAACGATCTTTTTTGGAGGAAAGTAAGGCAAGATTCATTTCCGTAAACACTTGTTTAAATTTTTTAATGCCCACGAATTGTATATGTTTATCATTGCAAACCGTAACATAAAGAATATGCAACTGTTGTATTGTTGTAAATTCTTGTTTCAAATATAGTTTGTTTGTATATTTTCTAACATAGTGTAAAGGTTGTTTTGGTAGACTCTCGAAAAATATTTTTAAGTTTTTGTTACTCTCCTCAAAAGAATTTACTTTGTAGTTTTTGTGCTTTCTGATTGTATTCCTTTGAGATTGTGATTTAGTTGTTCCGACTACACTATTTTTCAACCAAGTCCTTACTGTAAAACGTCCTAAACCAGTGGTACTTAAAAACATATTTCTACAAACTTGCACTAAACTATTACCATTATGTAATATGTAATCTATAGATTATTGTGTTTCCGCGTTTTCTTTCGTCTACCTCTGTCGTTTTTCTTTAAGGTAGTTGGAGACTTACATGTCTTAACACAAACCCTTTTCTTTGGACTCACGTCATATTCTTCCTAAACCCGGTAAATATTTTGTCTCTAATGTCTTCACTACAAGTATTACAAAACCTCTTTTTGGATTTTAAGCACATTTTTGAGGCACACCTTTCTACTTTAACTCGAGCTGGACGGGGAACATTTTGTTTGAAGATCCTATTTTTATCACGAGAAAACCCTAAATACACGTTTCCGTTCATTCTTAGTTTTTGGTTTTTTACTGTTTTTGACTCATCTGGGTCACCTTTATGTTTTCTTGTTCAACCTTCAGTCATATCACTTCACCCAGATTTTTCTGAATGTAAAACGAATGTTTTAATTACATTTCTGCTCTATAAACTAGTACAAGGCTCTGCAATTTTTTGTGTTTTTAAAACAGAATTTGTCCTGTTGAATTATCAAATCACCGTCCTGATTGTAACTACGTACATAGTTCGTCACTTCGTTCATTATTGGTCACTATCACTATTGGAATATTTTCTATGTCTACATTGGTAAGTTTTTTAAAGTTTTGAGTATTCCCATTTTTAAATATTTCATTATAATGGAGCCAATAAATAACTTTTTCATTAACTTGTACCGTGTTTTAATTGGAAATAACATCAGTTACTTGTTCGTCTTGATTTTATGTACAGGGAGGTTTTTATAACACACTGTAGTTAGTTGGGGTAGTATTTTGTGGTTCCTCACAAGACTCTAATATTAAGCCTTTGATAGCAGCGTTGTATATTTTTTATGCTCTTGACGGCATGCTAGGCATTATTCTAAAATAAATAAAACTGTCATTTTTACTCTAATTATGTATCTAAGCTTTATAGTTTATTCGTCTTCCGGGTTTGGACCGTGTCATTTGTGAGTGACCCAAAAGTGGGTTCATCTCGACGTTTCGCTACAATTGTATGTAGCTTCTTCAGGAGAACAAAGAAAAAGAAAAGAAGACAGGAAGATGGGTAGTCAGCAAAGGTAACTCAGTTACTCAACGCAACCAGAGGCGAATACTAACTACCAAGATGGGCATTTGGTCACAGTAACTCAACTACTCAACGCAGCCAGAGGTGAAAACCAAATGCCAGGACAGGAATTCACGTCCAACAGCTCAGAACACTAACGCGTCGAGAGGCGGGGAGTGAATCCGACGATTACTCCGCTACCGCTCTATTTATAGTCGCGGTGACCTGTCGTGTCGGGACGTATCGGCACACTCCGTGGCGCGAACGTCAAGAAGCGCGCGCTGGCCAATCATGTGGTTGCATCGTGGTAGCGAGACCGGACGGCGGCTCTAGACTGAGATTCCAGATGGGAGACAAGTAGTATCCTTCCTCTTGATTGATATTATGTGGATTCTTTCGGATCTCTAGAGATTCGCGGATTTTCCTGGAATAAAAGAAGGGGCTCTTAGAAATAATATGGGTTTTTTCGAACAATATGGAATGACCGGTTTCTTGGCAGTGTTCTGCAACTGCAGAATGGGAGAAAAGACCTGATCGAATGCATCTTTGATGCTCTTGAATCCGAGTTTTGACGGAACGACCAGTTTCGCCAATATACACATGTCCACATGAACAAGGAATAGAATAGACACCACAAGAAGATAGGGGCGGTAAAGGGTCCTTAGGAGAGGGTAGATATTGTGAGATTTTTTTGGGTGGTCGAAAAGTAGTCCTGATACCTTCTTTGCGAAGAATTTTGCCAATTGAAAGTGATCAGTTTGATTGAGTTTACGAAGAACGTAAAAAATGGCAAAAGTGGCGCCATGTTAATTTATTTAACACCTTTATAAAAATTAAGCTTATTCTCGACATAATACAAAAACTACATATGAAAGCTGCACCCTTTGCCTTTAAAACACATCTTATTTTTTGTCAATGAGACGTTTAAATCAAAAGATATTGAATTTACACCGTACTTCTGATACTAATTTTATTGGACATTGAATTCGAGCCCGTAACTAACGTGCAAAAATGACGGTCGCTTCAAGCGTTGTTTCAAAGAGAACGGTTTATGCTAAACAGAAATAGCTTATAAACATTTTTGTTTAAAATTCTCTCAGTCACAGTTTTTATTTAAAACATTTTTTTCTGCGGTATGCAGATTCTTCATGGGGAAGCCCGGGGGTAAAAGTAGTAAACTTTTTGAGATCCCAAAGTTAATATTCTCTGCAAAATTCAGCTTGTTCGTATGCTTTTTAGGGTTCACCTCTCTGACGACTGGACTACAACGAATATCTGGGAAAAAGTAATTAATATACGACGTGAAGAAATCGCAATATTCAAAAATCTTTTTTTTTACCACACCAACCCTAGTGTTATTATTTTTATTTTTGAAACGTTTTGTACACATAGCATATAATTAACATTTACACAACAGTTTTGAATAATACAAACATCTTGTGAAATCTTACAGTTTTTTATACAGTTTACCATTTTTGAAAACGTTTATAGAGCTTATTTCAGATTGTGTTGTATTTTCGCTCTCCATCTTGCTGTTAAATTCACTGGACGGTCTATCATTAAATGAGGAGGTAAAATGCAAACAATCTTTAGTCACGAATAAGTAATTGTTCACGGAGGTCGAAAAACTTTGTGGCTTTGCTCTGAAAAAGGATAATAAGGTTTAATCCATGTTGTGCAATGATATTGGTTCCAAACATGCGATTAAAATACTTATTTCAGCTAGGATAGCTGAAATATAGTTTAAAAAATTGATTTTTTTTGG